TCAAATTGTTGGTGGCGATGAGTAGACAAATTTTAGTAGTGTTTAACCCATTTACACCATATTCTTAATTCACATATAAAAATTAACATAAGACGACAGACAGACGGAAACGGGAGGCCAATTTTTTCGAACTTTAGGGGTCATGAAACGTCGAAAAAACATGAAAGTAGCTATTCGCCGGAGGGACTTTCTTACTTACGTTTGGAACTTAAAAAATAGAAAGGAAATGAATGATTAAATGAAGATTGTTAGAACATATATACATACAAAAAAGGACAAGACAGAAGTCGATAAATATATGTATATATAACAATGTATACGGATAATAAACTTACAGAAATTGAGAAACAAAAAAAAAATAATCCAAAATGAGATAAAGTATAAAAAAGTCCAGGCAAAATATTAAAAAAATTAATAACAGATAATGAACAAAACGAAACAGTAGGACTAGGAGAGAAAAAAATTGAAGAAATTAATAACAGACGTCGCCCCAGGATACGACGGAATAAATATGGACACATAACTCTGGCTTCAAAATTGCAAGCCTCAGTATCATTAATGAAAATTATGAATAATAAGAGGTCTAATAAGCTCCCTGACGGTACACCATTATTAACTATCTTAAGCTGATTCATGTAAACAATTTTTAAACAATGCGTTTTGACAAGGATCTTGTTACTCAAAAAAAAAATGCAATTACGAAAAACGGGTAAAAGACTAAATTGGTCGAAGATTACTTAAACAGAACAATCGCAGAAATCCAGTGGATTCATAAACCACGAGTACAAGAATATGTTATTTTATAAAATTTAGACAACCTTTACTACATAAAGTGATGAGGGGACGTCATCAAATTATTCCGGGGATCATTATACAAATTTTGGTTGGCGTGTTACCATCCACACGATTTTCTTAATCCGCATATAAAAACTGACAGACAGACGGAAACAATTTTTTCGTACTCTAGGTGAAAACATAAAACCCTTTTACAATACTTCCCTTACGTAGGCTCTGGAAGTATAAAACAGAAAGAAAAAGAATGCTACAATGAAGATTATAAGAACAGACATAAAAAGAAGATAGAAGCAAAACAGAAACGGATAAGAGGACAAAGACTACAAAAAATTAAGAAAGTAGAGCAAGGAAACAAACCAAAAAAGCACTAGAATATGAAGAGATAATAAACTGAAAAAACCTGATACACAATACAAAAGTAGAAATACAAAACAGTATTTAAAAAAAAAATCATCAAAGTGAGATAAAGCATAAAAAATTCAGGACAAAATATTTCAATTATAATAATAGAAACAGATCGTGAATAAAATGAAACAGTAGAAAAAGAAATAAAGTTAGATAAAAATGAATAGAAGAGCCAAAGCGAAGAAATAAAAGGAAATATACATTTAGCAAACTTTGATACAATTGAATTTTGAAACATTTCTTGTAATGCAGGTTCAGGTGGAATCGGTATTTTGGGTTGCCTATTTTAAAAACATAAATGAGTCATCTTTGCTGAATAACGCTGTATATAATATGTAAGGTGACATCTACCTTTGGTATTTTGGGGGCTTACAAAAGACTTGAGCTAGATACATACGCTGGAATTTCTAGATGTAAATGATTCTGTCGAAACAAGACGAAAATTCATAGTCAGAGAAAAGTATTAAGAAATACTTCATCTAGAAAATTATACAACCCCATAAATAATATAGTTAAACAAGTTTGGAAACATGGGAAAAGAGATTACTACTTCTTCCGAATTCTAGTTTATACACCGGACACTGCTTTCGTCGCAGTTCTGCTACAATGTAAATTAAAGCTAGTGGTGACATAGCATCACTAAAACGTCATAGTTTCTTTAATATTTCTTTAGTTTTCTAGTTGTTACGCGTGATTAATTATTTTGGAAACAAAGCTGTTTTCTTTCATTATTGTGACCGGTCGTAGAAAAAACAGTGTATACAACTCTCATTTAACCATTTAATGACCATTAAAACATTAAATGACCGTACATTAAAAACAATACACAATCAAGTCGCCAGTGACGCAACCTCTCCCAATTTCCTCCAAATCCCACTCAAACCCAAAACCCGGAAATCACAACAAAAACTCGCACGTGTACAAGAAAAACAAACGCCGCCGTCGTAAACCCGGCACGTGTCAAAACCAAGGCGGTCGATTCAAAAACAATACAAATAAAATTCCCCAAACAAGGCAATTATGCACTACCTGTGCTATGCAGACGCAGCCACCCCTATTACTTTTTAATTATAGATCGGTCCATTTCCAAGAAGTGCAAGTGCAATTTATACTCATATGCACTTACCTTGGCGGTGATCGCGGTGTCGACTCCGGTGATGACAGTGGTGATGGTTTCCGGGTATTTCACGGCAAAATTCACCGGAATTTGCGCGAAAATAACAACTTTTCCGGTTTTAGACAAATTCAAATCGCACGCACTACGGTCTCGGTGTTCGTGAAAAAACTGACTGCAGCGCCAGTGTTTGAGCTGTCTGCCGCTGCCGCGCCAACTTTGTTATAAGTTTTAAGGCAAATTCGACCAAAAAGTGGGATTTTATTAAACTAATTATTTATAATGAAATGTGTTATTCTTTAGTGTTGAAAGTCGAATTCGGCTGTATGCAAGTTGGGAATAGTTAGTTTGATGGTAATTAAAGGGCAAATCGGAGACAGAACCGGACTAAAACACAAATACAGGGTCGCTAGAATGTATGGAAACGGTTAAATATTTTGAGAACCAATTAAAATCGACTGAAATTATGGTGTTTTTGAATAAAGCTTTTTTTTTTTAATTCATTGATGTAGCACAATCATACCTTCTTTCTGATTTAAATGGCAAAATAAATTATTTTAATTAAGAATAAGTAAATTAAAAAGAAAGATGACATAGTTACCTTTGAAAATAATTTTAATTTGACATGTAAGGTGTTTTTGGCAAAAATGGTGCTTATAAGTGAAAGACGCGGATCTAGGCCTGATGCTATTATTTAATTGGGGCCCCATTTATGAATAGAAGTTTGTTAGAAGCATTTAATTTACACATTTTCAATATTTTAATATAAAAAAAACAATAACAAAAAATACAAAAATAAAATATAATAAACAAACACAAACAAATTATATAAAAATTTTCTTTCTGCATTTGATGTCAGCATACGTTCGTATGGCGCTGTCATACGTAATTGACCTTGTGGTGTCATTCTGAATTGCAAGAATTTGCAAAGAATTTAGTCTTTCGTTTTTCATTGTCGATCTATATTTAGTTTTAATAAAATTCAATTTAGAAAAAGCTCTTTCAGCTTCACAACTGGTCACTGGCAGTGTCATGAAGATCTTAACTACTGTGTACAAATTCGAGAAAATGTGAATGAGGTTTTTTTTTAAAATGCAGTCGAGTATATCTAAACATGTTACAGTACGTTTCTGAGCTAAGTCAGCAGAATTTTTTAAATATTCCTTAAATTGTAAATATTCATTCTTGAATTCTAATTCGATGCCCTCATTGTAACACTGTAAAATACAGTCAACGCTGTCTTCATCCATATGTGCTACATGTTTGTTTGTAAGGTCCGTTAAGAATTTGAATTTCTTCCCTAATTCATTATATACATCTTTTCTTCTGGTGAGTTCGGTTATTAAGTGTCCAACAATCGAACTTCCACGAAAAATTTCTCACGACATTGTAGTTGACTAGTCCCTGTTGTGCCGTCCGAATATTTATAAATTTTAATCCTATTTTTCGCATTACTATCATTTTCTTCCACTTTACTGCTAAACCCCTTCGCTCGCAATTCATAGTTAATTAATTTACCATTAGATTTTTCTCTAAGAAATTTGATAAATATTTCTAAAGATGTTCTTAGTACAAGGCCTTCGCACAAATCTAACCCGGGTTCTTGCAACTTTTTACTGACTTTGTTAATTCTTTCAAGAAGTTCTGCCCAGACGACAGTCAATATAGCGGTTTCGAGTTTGTATACCTTACCTAATATTTTTTTCGCTTACATCTTGCAGTCATTTTTTTCTAAATTATCATTAATAATAGTTTCTAATATGGTTACAATTAAGCTATAACTTGTTTTTAATGCGTGAACAGCGTCGTATCGACTAGACCATCTAGTTTGACTCAAACCTTTAACAGAAAGTGGCAGTTTTGCATGTTGATTTAACAAATTCCATCGGTGAGGTGAAGCCGAAAAAAACACGTACAGTTGTTGTACAACCCCAAAGTAGCTGATTACATCGGGTACGACACTTGGAGCTTCGACTCCTACCAAATTTAAAGAGTGAGCTGCACATGGTACATAATCCGCGAACTTGTTAATTTCCTTAACACGTGCTTGAAGTCCATTATATTTTCCACTCATATTCGCAGCATTGTCATAAGACTGCCCTCGACAATTTTTCATTGAAAGACTATTTTCTTCTAAAAATAAATGTATTGTATTAAATAAATTATTTCCTGTGTGACTGTCAATTGGTATAAATGATAAAAATCTTTCAAAAACTTTTCCTTGGGAAGTGTATCTCAAAATAATTGCCAGTTGGTCCGTATGTGACAAATCTGGAGTAGAATCCACAATAATTGAATAATATTTTGTATCTGCATCATTTATGTCCTCAATAATTTTTGTTCTTACTTGAGTTGCCATTATGTCGAGTATCTCTTCATAAACCGTTTTAGACAAGTAACTTGCAACTAGTTGTTCGGTTTGGCATTTCCGGTGTAGATGGGCACAGTGTTTTACAAAACGTTTTGTTTTCACTCCCTCATTCTTTTCTGTTCGTTCAGTAAGTTTAAAAGTGTACTGCTCTGCGAATATTACAGTGTTAAAAATTAAAAATTCCAGAATTCAGTTTACGTCGAATTATATATTATCATCTTTGGAATCAACAGTGTTTAAGGTATTTAGATAATTATTTTCGTGTTGTTAAATATTAATAATACAACTTATTCATTAGGTATTTGATTAAATAAAATGTCTGAGCACAAATACCTCAGTGAAAGCCAAAAGAGGATACTTAAGCTTCAACATGAACAGGAACTAGCAAAATGTCGAGAAGTCACAAGTTTTTTTACAACTCAACCTTCTACTTCCACTTCAAATAACTCAACTGGTGAAAATGAAGTTATTTTGAAAAGTGTGAAAAATTCTGCTGGAATTTCATGCAACAACTACGCTACCACCGTCACCGATACAGTCGATGAAAACATGAATAAAGATGAGGTTAAACAAATCGTAAGTGATATTATAACAATAAATTTAAAGATATAGCATTATGGCCGAATTTTATCAATGAAAATTTTATCGGAAGTTGCCTATCAAAAGAAAGCTCGTTCTTTCAAAATAAAAGGGAAGACAATATTTACTCTGAGTCTATCAGGAATTATAAGGGACAAAACAGACAATTTACAAACAAATATTTTCTGAAACGTTTAAAAATGGGCAACAATTAACGAGATCTTGGTTGTCCTATTCGAAAAGCAAAGGATGTGTTTTCTGTTTAGTGTGCAAATTATTCTCCAGAACACAAACATCTTTAATGAGTGGTTATTCAGATTGGGCAAACATAGTTCGTACTTTGGACAGTCATGAACAATCTCGGGATCACAAAAAGGCGCTGTTAACCTGGTTATCCCGCAAAGAAAACAAAAACGTTGTTGACAAGCATCTTCAGGAAAAAATAAAAAATGACTGTGAATATTATTACAATGTCCTGATGCGAGTTGTGGCAGTTATTAAATTTTTAAGTGAAAGAGGATTGTCATTTAGAGGACATGATGAAAAATGGGGTCATCACATAATGGAAATTTTATGGGACTTATTGCGGAATTTGATCCTTTTTTGAAACAACATATAGTGAAATGCCAAACCGAACAACTAGTTGCAAGTTACTTGTCTAAAACGGTTTATGAAGAGATAATCGACATAATGGCAACTCAAGTAAGAACAAAAATTATTGAGGACATACGATGCAGATACAAAATATTATTCAATTATTGTGGATTCTAGTCCAGATTTGTCACATACGGACCAACTGACAATTATTTTGAGATACACTTCCCAAGGTAAAGATTTTGAAAGATTTTTATCATTTATACCAATTGACAGTCACACAGGAAAGAATTTATTTAATACAATACATTTATTTTTAGAAGAAAATGGTCTTTCAATGAAAAATTGTCGAGGGCAGTCTTATGACAATGCTGCGAATATGAGTGGAAAATATAATGGACTTCAAGCACGTGTTAAGGAAATTAACAAGTTCGTGGATTATGTACCCTGTGCAGCTCACTCTTTAAATTTGGTGGGAGTCGATGCTGGAAGTGTCGTACCCGATGTAATCAGCTACTTTGGGGTTGTACAACAACTGTACGTGTTTTTTTCCGGTGGAATTTGTTAAATCAACATGCAAAACTGCCACTTTCAGTTAAAGGTTTGAGTCAAACTAGATGGTCTAGCCGATACGACGCTGTTCACGCGTTAAAAACAAGTTATAGCTTAATTGTAACCATATCAGAAACTATTATTAATGATAATTTAGAAAAAAATGACTGCAAGATGGAAGCGAAAAAAATATTAGGTAAGCTATACAAACTCGAAATCGCTATATTGACTGTCGTCTGGGAAGAACTTCTTGAAAGAATTAACAAAGTCAGTAAAAAGTTACAAGAACCTGGATTAGATTTGTGCGAAGGCCTTGCACTAATAACATCTTTAGAAATATTTATAAAATCTCTTAGAGAAAAATCTAATGACAAATTAATTAACTATGAATTGCGAGCGAAGGGGTTTAGCAGTAAAGTGAAAGAAAATTATAGTAATGCGAAGAAGAGGATTAAAATTTTAAATATTCGGACGGCACAACAGGGACTAGTCCACTACAAGGTCGTGAGAAATTTCTCGTGGAAGTTCTTAATCGATTGTTGGACACTTTAATAACCGAACTCACCAGAAGAAATTATGTACGAGTATATAATGAATTAGGGAAGAAATTCAAATTCTTAACGGACCTTACAAACAAACATGTAGTACATATTGACGAAGACAGCGTTGACTGTGTTTTACAGTGTTACAATGAGGACATCGAATTAGGATTGAAGAATGAATGTTTACAATTTAAGGAATTTTTAAAAATTTCTCCTGACTTAGCTCAGAAACGTACTGCAACATGTTCAGATATACTCGACAGCATTTTTAAAAAAAACCTCATTGACATTTTCCCGAATCTGTACACAGTAGTTAAGATGTTCTTGACACTGCCAGTGACCAGTTGTGAAGCTGAAAGAGCTTTTTCTAAATTGAATTTTATAAAAAATAAATATAGTTCGACAATGAAAAACGAAAGACTATAAGTTCTTTGTCGATTCTTGCAATTGAGAATGACATCACAAGAAAATTGTTATATAATTTGTTTCTGTTTGTTTATTATATTTTATTTTTGTATTTTTTGTTATTGTTTTTTTATATTAAAGTATTGAAAATGTGTAAATTAAATGCTTCTAACAAACTTCTATTCATAAATGGGGCCCCAATTAAATAATAGGATCAGGCTCCCAACAGTCTAAATCCGCCTCTGGAGAGAAGACAAATCTTCTCTAACGACAGCTGTTTTTATTGATGTTGTACATTGGTGGTTCCAGTTGATTAGTTCTAGATCAACTATCTTGGCGTTGAGCAAGTTTAATGTGGCTGACTGTAGGAAAACTATAGAATTCCTTCAAGAGTTCATCAAGTTATTTTTAAACTTAAAAGTCGCTGTAAAACTTGTTTTTGACCGAAAAAAAATACTGGTCCCTACAGCCATTCAATTTAAATATGGCTTAAAACTTCAGTTTCTCAATATTTGGACGTTTCAAATAATCCAAGTTACGAAACCGACCTTTAGTTGGTTTTTTGAGTTATCCTAAAAATAATAACAGAAAAGAAAACGATGTTCCTAAAGGAAAACAAACTTTAGCTCTAGCTAGAAATTGGAATTTGAAAAAAAAAATTGAATGGGTTGTTTGAACAGTTTTAAGGGGCTGAGAACTTGAAAAAAGCTACAATTTGATGTATAATACAAATTGTATATAGGTATATTAATATCAGTTTCATACAGAAAAAAGGAAAAAAAAATCTTATACTTCTTCTAATGAGTCGCCTTAATTTCGCAATTAAGTAACACATGAAACCTATGTGATAAAACCACTCAGCTCATCGTCTCGTGCGTTTCATTATGATGTATGATCCAACAATTTCATTAATAGCTATAATAATCTCCTTATTAAAAATCAGTTAGTTACGTTCAGTGTAATTTTGTTGGCGTCGCAAATGCAGCAAAAACATTAGAATTCAAAGTTCTTCTTGTAAGTGAAAGCGTATACAGAGTGTTCATTTTATCTGTTTACGCCTGACAAATTTTGCATAGGTAACATATTATACACCTCAGAGACGACGCCCAATTTAATTTTTTTTAGTAAGCTATCATAGCAAATACAGAAAATGTCAAAAGGGTGTCAATGCCAAATAATAACAAAATTCAAAAAATTTGAATTGGGACACTAAGTAGTATTAATTTATTATTTGCTTTACAAGCTTAATAAGATTCCCAGTAGGGGTACAAATTAACGTAATCTACATAATACAAATAAATCAATAAAATAAATAAATAAATAAATAAAATAAATATTCAAGTTTTATATAATAATAATTGTTTCCCTACTTTCCTCCGATTCTCTCAATCCTTTACATCCTTCCAGCATATGCTCTATTGTTTCTCCCTCTCTCCAACATATCCTACACCTTCTGTCAGTTTCATCCATCCAAAAATTATTCTCTTTCTCTTCATTTCCACACCTAAATCTCGCCATCATTCTTTTCTCTTTTATACTCTGTCTCTGTGTGTACTTTAATACTTCATCCTTTACTATTTTTCTATACTCTGCATTATATCTAGACTCCGACATTGTCGATTTGCGGTCTTGCTTATCTATATCCTTATCTCTTACACTCAGTTCTTCTTTCATACTCCTTCCCATTTCTCTCATTCTCTCTATTTCTTCACATGTGTATCCCTTTCCTTCATAATACTTGTCACTTTCGTTCCAAACATGTTTTCCACTTCCTTTCTTATTTCTTTCCAACATTCTTGCAATATTTTACAATCACCTCTCTCACTAAACTTCTCTTCAAATCCAACCTCCCTTTTACCTGCTTTCACTCTCATTTTCTCTCTTTTTGTTTCTTCTCTCCCTATATACCCCGGCGTATACTTCTCCAATCCCAATGTCCATTTTAAGTATTTTTCTTGCACTCTCTCTATTTCTTCATATTCCCCCCATCCCCAAATCTCAGCTCCGCACATAAATACACATTTGATCAAACTATCAAACATCATCATTCTTCTCATATAATCATGTCTAAATTTTCTCTGTCCTATTCCCCACATTATTCCTATCAATTTGTTCGCTTTTCGGACCATTTCTTGAATATGCGCTCTATCTGAGTTATTGCTCTTTAATGTATATCCTAAGTAGGTACTGGAATTCTTTCATCTGTTCAATCTTCTTTCCTCTCATGCGCATTCTTCCTACTCCTTTCTTACTTTCTTCCCAAACACCACCATTTTTGTTTTTTCCATATTCACTTCCAATTCTTTTTTTTGTACGTACTTCTCGAACCTTTTAATCATTGTTTTCATTTCTTCTATTTTCTTTGCCACAATTACCAAATCGTCTGCGTACGCCAGCGACCACACTTTCTCTTTGTCCACTACCACCCCTCTTGTCTGTGCTTTTCTGAACATTTCATCCATATCTCCTAGATAAGTTAGAAACAATGTGGGGCTGAGTGGGCATCCCTGCCTCACCCCTCTATTTGTATAAAAACTGTCGCTCTCTATTCCATTCACTCTCACCTTACTTACTGTTTCTTAATATATTTCTTCCATTTTCGTTACGCATCTACTCCCTTTCACCTCAAATACTCCCACATTTTCTCTCTATTCACACAATCAAACGCTGCTTTGAAATCTATGAACAATGCGTACATTCGTCTACCCTCTTCCCTTATTTCTCTTCCCACTAAATGCCGCAGGATGTACACATTGTCCATAGTACCTCTTCCTCTCCTAGACCCTGCCTGACCGTCTGGTAACATACCCTTTGCTTCCATCTCCTTTCGTAACCTCTCATCTAGTATCATTGCGTATATCTTGTACGCCGTATTGAGCAAGGTAATCCTTCGGTAGTTCTTCACATCACTTTTTTGTCCCTTTTTAAATAATGGAATTATTATACTTTCTCTCCACTGCCGAGAAAACCCTTTTCCTTTCCAAATTCCATCTACCACTTCCCATATCCTTTCTTTCAGTCCCTCTGTCCCGAACATCCACGCTTCATTCTGGATTCCATCCCCTCCTAGTGCCTTTCCTCTTTTCAGTCTTTCAATATGTCTTCCTATTTCATCTTCTGTTATTTCCGAACCTCTCCGCATTTCTTCCGTCGTTGTGATTCCTTTATTTATTTTGCAGCATTTTTCCTCGCAACCTCCCAATAATTCTATAAAGTGTCTTTTCCATTCATGTACTTTGATTTTCCTACTGACTTCAGTCTTCCTTCGCCGTTCCTTGTTTATATATCTCCAAACTTCTTTTTTTGTTTTCAGGGACTTTATTGTCTTCTCTTCTTCTGCTCGTTTTTCTCTTTTCTTTCTACACATTTTCTCCTATAATTTTCTCTTGCTTTTAAGTATTCTTCTTTCCTTCCCCTGTTATTCTTCCAATTTCTTAATTTTTCCCTTGCTTTTCTCTTCAACTCACTACATTCTCCGTTCCATCCATTATTCCTCTCTTGCCATATGTATATCTTTCTTTTTTCCGTAGCTTCTACAATTAAGTTGGTCAGTTCTGCTATCTTAGCTTCTATATCTTCTTTTACTTCGAATTTCTTTTTTCTATTCTACTTCTGTATCTTTGAATTCCCTCTTCATCCTATATTCTTTTTTCGATTTCTTTTCTTTCGCTTCTTCACTCCTGTTTATCGTACTCTTGCTCTTTTCCTTTGGTTTTTATTTCTAATGGCATGTGGTCTGATTTTACCCTTTCCCCCACTTTGAAACTCTCTGTTTCTTCCCACGTCTCTTCGCTGACAATCTCATAGCCTATAATTGATTCTTCCCTTGCCCCTACGTACGTCCATTCTCCTTCTTCATCTCCTTCCTTGTTTCCATTCAAAATTTCCCATCCCATTTCTTCTATTATCTACCACAATATTTTCCCTTCTTTGTTATTTGCTTTGTCTTTTGATCCTCTTTTCTCTCCCTTTTCTTTATCTATTATTCTTGTCAGTAAAGTATTACAAGGCGAAAATGTAAAATGTAGAAAAAGATTTACAAATGAAATCCACTGAAATTGCTAATTTTAAATATTCTCCTTTAACATCGTGTGACGTTGAGAGATTCTTCTCTACGTATAACAATGTCCTAACAGACGAAACCAAAAAAATCTGCTGCAAATTAACTTATTTTTAATATCTATGCAAATTTTAGCGAAGATTGGGATTTTATCGTCTCCAAAACTTGCTTAAAGCTCCTATTTTGACATTTTTCAGGCCTAAATCGCCTCTTTTAGGGTCTATTTTGGCTTAGAAATCGTTATTAAAAAATCTGCAAACTTCACAATTTCGAAAAGTATCGTTTTCCCTCCCTGAAATTCTACTTCTACCAGGACCGGCTCCACCTTCCCGAACCCAAATCCTCTAACATATCCATTATTCCCTCTCTCCTCACCACCCCCCCGTTTGTCACCACCAACTCCGGCGCCCTCTACCGCGATAAGGCTACTTTAAACTCATTAGACCCGATATAATTACAGACAAAAGCCAGCGAGTCATTTCCATACTTGTGCATCATTAATTACAGCGATACTAGTTATAATAAACCATTGTTACGGAGTCATTGTTGACGTGTCTCCAAGGATGTGTTGATTCCGCCGGGATAATTAATATCGCGCGACCGTCCCCTTTTTGTCGCCGCCGCCACCGCCACCGATCGTCGAAAATATTTACGCCGCCGCCGACGTCTTTAAGGTGGCCGCCGCGTTGCTGCAGCGGCTAATGACACGGCTATCCGACGGTTGAGGGTAATCTGCTCTTCACTCATGTGGACCCACAAAAACTCATATTAGACCCGGCCTTAATTAACGCAAAAAACGGGAGCGGGATCCGGGCATGATTTCGGGGGGAGCGGGGCGGGGGCCGCCCCCGGCGCGGGAGAGCGATTTTGCGGAGGCGGCGCGGACGAGAGGGCGGTGGGTGGCGTGAAGGTATCCCGGTGGTTAGCGCTGGCTGTTGTGTATGGTTTTTGCGGGTGGAGA